CCCCAATACCCTTTGGTAGCTTTGGCGGCTCGCCCCCTATGTCTTCCATGTCCAAGCTAATTTGTGTGGGCCCCCCCCGGGACCCTTCCAAAAGTTTCAGGGGTCCCCCCTTTTGGGCACTAAGTTACGACTGATCCCCCCTTTTTTTCCCCTAAAAATCAAGTGATCCCCCTTTAAATCCTCCGCCCCCCCCCCCCACCTATACGACCGGTCCCTTAAATAACCTGCTCTGGTAGACTGTATATTTATAGACTCAAGAGTCCATTTACCATTATGACTGGGTCATCCCTTACCACTTTTCCGTCAACAATAACTGATGCTTTTTCTTTACTTGAGTAAACTTGTACATCCATATCTGTTGTACCTGCAATAGACGTTCGACGGATAAAACAAGCAATTTTGCATTTCATTTTGCCAGTACTGTCTAATGGCGGGTATGAATATTTCCAATCTCAATTATTGACTTTATGAAAAATGCTATAAGGCCCCATTGAGCGCCGTTATATAGGTACAGTACTCACTAGGAGTATAACTTCTTCTTCGTTTGTCATGTGAACGAGCCTTGAAATGCCATTTTTCTTAATCCTTTTCCATTTCCGCGAAGAACACACAGATGTCTAGTCTGCTACACAGCCGTTTTTAGTGTCGTCACGCAGTGCTCCTCTCCACAAACTAGTGGGGAGGAGCGTTGCGTGGCGACACTAAAAACGCCTGTGTAGCAGACTAACAGATGTCTAGATATACCTAAATTCACTTACATAATGCCCCGTAATTACTTAAAAATTATCTTTTTTATTTATCCGAGATTTTGTTAGTTTCCTCTCTTATTTCGCAGGCAGTTCGTTTTAATGGCTTATGTTGGCTAAATCCTCGTACAGAAAGGCAGTTACTGAATTGTCACAAAATCACAAACATGGCGGACTTGCCCAACAATAAGAGACTATATAATGAAAAAATATCGTTGCAAATTCCGTCAGCGTGTGGAAAACGTTTAGAATTTTGTGCAATTTTCCAGTTAGAATAGAAGAGAAATTAAACCAATAAGGAAAGTTCAACAAACAATGAAATTGAAATTCAAAAATTCTGATATACGTGTCAAATTATTTTTATGTACCATTAAAAACTGCTTCATCAGCTAGCACACCCTCTCTTAACATCGTCCTCCTCGAAGTTTCAAGGTTCGTTGTGTTGGGCTCGTTGGTCCTTTCCGTAACATTTATCGTCCAGTTTTCGACCATGAATAGAATGTTTGCTATGGATGTAACAAGCACCACAGCAGCCAGGAGCATTCGTATTAGCTTTACAGACATAGTTTACTTTGCCTACAATAGTTTCAATTCAGGCATTTAAAACAAACCGAGAGATATCTTGGCTGATCGTTTCACTGCAGCTAGGCTAAGTCGGGTTTGTAAAATGACTGTAAACCGTCTTAGTGCCTCATGTTAAACAAACTGTCATTAAAGATCAAAATGAAAAATTATTTGAATACGGACAATAGCATTTTTCAGAGGCACGTACAAAAGCGTTTGTATCCTTGGCAACAACCTTTTGATTTTTCTCTCTAATTCTACTTTTTAGTTTCATATAATTATTTGTCAGCTATTAAGTAAAAAGAAAACTGCGAACTCTTAAAATGCGTAAGCATTTAATTGCAAAAGTGTTTCATAACATCTTTTAGCTTGCGATATACTTTATTGTAGGTACATAACGTGAAATTTTGCGAAAATCTCCCTTATAGTGACAAACAGGCTGTCAGATTCGCGGATATTCAAGGATCCAAGGAGGTTTCAATTTATTTTGCATAATTATTTGTTTTTATGGTATTAAACAAACGACTATGAGAAAATAGAAGGGACTGATGAAAGCGGCAAATAAACGCAGTCGCTTAGTTGCATATTGAAAAAACATCGATTTCCGTTTCATCGTTTACTTGCTGGTACATCACGAACAGGATAGCCTAGCTACCGCCGCGCTGTACTATCTGAACGCCGGCCTGGAACAGGCTACGAACAAGAAGGAGTGGTTGCCCCTCATTGCAAAGGCGATGATTTATCAAGAATGATTGAAAAAACGCGNTTAGTGCCTCATGTTAAACAAACTGTCATTAAAGATCAAAATGAAAAATTATTTGAATACGGACAATAGCATTTTTCAGAGGCACGTACAAAAGCGTTTGTATCCTTGGCAACAACCTTTTGATTTTTCTCTCTAATTCTACTTTTTAGTTTCATATAATTATTTGTCAGCTATTAAGTAAAAAGAAAACTGCGAACTCTTAAAATGCGTAAGCATTTAATTGCAAAAGTGTTTCATAACATCTTTTAGCTTGCGATATACTTTATTGTAGGTACATAACGTGAAATTTTGCGAAAATCTCCCTTATAGTGACAAACAGGCTGTCAGATTCGCGGATATTCAAGGATCCAAGGAGGTTTCAATTTATTTTGCATAATTATTTGTTTTTATGATATTAAACAAACGACTATGAGAAAATAGAAGGGACTGATGAAAGCGGCAAATAAACGCAGTCGCTTAGTTGCATATTGAAAAAACATCGATTTCCGTTTCATCGTTTACTTACTGGTACATCACGAACAGGATAGCCTAGCTACCGCCGCGCTGTACTATCTGAACGCCGGCCTGGAACAGGCTACGAACAAGAAGGAGTGGTTGCCCCTCATTGCAAAGGCGATGATTTATCAAGAATGATTGAAAAAACGCGAAATATTTAAAGCCAAATGAGTAACAAGTTTCCTGCTGGTTGATTCCGCACAATGAGGGAAAAAAAATGAGGAGAAAGAGATTTTCTCTCGCCGAGAGGGATCTACGAAGAGTTATGAGTGATAATTTTAGCGAATATTTTGGTTTGAAAAGCGTTTATAAGCATCTTTTGTGTTGTACAAGAGAAAAGTATCAAACATGAGAAACAACCACGTAAAGGATTTGCAGGTAGCGTTAACTGTTGGTTCGACATCTAAATGAGAAAATGAAGTTGCGAAAATCTTCTTCCTTTTTCTAATTTAACCTCACCCCTCCCCTACTTCACTTAGTTATCACCTGACTCCTCCCTCCAGGGTATATTATCGCTTCGCTCCAGATCTCTCTCTTTCTCCGAATCAAATGAACAACAATATGGCGGTCGGAGGAGTGCTTTTTCAGTGTTTCATCATATTGAGTTGGTATGTCTTTTGCTGTTTTTCTAATGATCTTTTATACGAACACGATGAAATGATCCGCCATGTTCCTTTGGATTCGCCTCACGACATACGAAAACGTAGTATAGATCAGCCGCTACGGATTTCGCTGGATTTTCTCGACATCAGCAGATTAGAAGACCAAAACAGCGTAAAAGCCGTTTTAAACAAAGCAACCGAATACTTCAGTGAAACGTTGAAAGTTCGAAAGACGGTATCAAAGATCCTACTTCAGAGGAAATGTGCAAATAATCGCTTTTACTTAAAAAATATAGAAGGAACAGGGCCTGGAGCAATTCGCTTTTGCCAAGAAGCGTGCAATGCCACGAGGATATTGTGTGGTCCAAGCGAAATTCCTGAACACGATATAGACCAGTGTAGAGTTTGCGATAAGAACGGGCGAAACTGTCGTAATGATACAAAACCATTGGGCGAAGGACGTAATAATACGGATTTTATACTCTACGTCACTGCAGTTCCAGATGGAAATTGTAACCATATTAAAACTTTGGCTTATGCTGCAGCATGCCAGCAAGAGAGTGCCCTAGATCGCCCTGTTGTCGGGTTTATCAATATTTGCCCTAAAAAGGTCACGACTAGTGAACTTAAAACAAGCTACACTGAGGTTCTTGCTACAATAAAGCACGAAATATTTCATGCTCTTGGGTTTTCACCTTCTTTGTATGCATTCTTTCGGAATGAAAGCGGCGATTCATTCACTCCACGATTAGAGACCGGCCTGCCATATTTTGATAACGATCACAAACTTTATATCTGGAGTGAGAAGGTAAGAATCTGAAGTCGTAATGAATATTAGCTCTTCATGATATTTTAGCTAGTATTTGAATAGACATTCTGTGAATTCAAAACATCTTAAGAATAGCGTGACCTGATATGGGAACAACTTTGTTGTTTTGATATTCCAAAGGTGTGAGTTCATTATTATCATGTAGTCTGCAAATATAGGTGTAATAATATTATGAGAGGAATGTTAGAGTGATTTTTGTACCACCTTGAGATAAAAACGCTGCATGAACAAAACAGAAACAACAAACAAACACAAATAGAGTGATTTGATTGGTTTATGGAATGGATACAAATGCACATGGGTTTTGGTTGGTTAAGCAAATGAGGGGGTATGCCAGAATTTGAGTGACAGGGGTGATTGAAGGATTTCTGGAGGGTTGAAATTTTCGATTTTGGGATTTGGTAGGAAAATTTTAGCAAGTATTTTTTTCGGTATTCAATGCTAATGTTTCTGTTTTTCGTGTTATATCATTTAATGCTTTCTGGAAATTTTTATGGCTTGGGAATTTGGCATGGGTGTTTTTGGGGTTAAATTTTGGTCCAGGGATTTTTTTGGGTTTTGTTGGAAGCGCTAGGGATTTGGTTGGGTTTTGATTTTTTGCCCCCATTCGATCATTCCTGTCACTGGAAATCTGGAGTCGCCCCCTGGGGTTCCCTATTCCTGTCCTACACTTACCCAGCTGGCCTTTTAATAAACTGTGTATATAACTGTTCATTCAAAACATTTCTCTGTTTCTGATTGGCTCAAACGTCTCAGCTTCATTCTTCATAACCAGCTAACACTGACCAAACTTGAAAGGCATATTATTAATGTTGCAATATCCAATAAAATGATGTCAAAGGTGCTAAGTAATTGCACAAAAAGGTATGNCTGTTTCTGATTGGCTCAAACGTCTCAGCTTCATTCTTCATAACCAGCTAACACTGACCAAACTTGAAAGGCATATTATTAATGTTGCAATATCCAATAAAATGATGTCAAAGGTGCTAAGTAATTGCACAGAAAGGTATGACAACTGAGAAGTCTGGGGAACTGGGTTGCATTTGCTGAGGTATTTCAGCCACAGAAAATGGCAGAAAATTTTATGACGAAAAAATAGCCAAACTTCTACCTAGAAACATGCACTGAACAAGATCTACAAAAATACGACTCAATGGTTTTGAAAACTGCTATTTAAGGGATATCTACTATTAAGACTAGACATCTCTTTAGATCCTGATTTGTTGAGGAACTGGCAAATGAAGATGAGAACTTAACATTAATTAAGGTTAAAATGTTTTAGTTAGTTTTAAGACTATATATTATTTTGAATGAATGATAAAACAATTATTGAATTTGGCTTTTGTATGGATAATTATGCAGGTCCTACTCAGTCTCATTCAGCGATTGATAATTATAGATAAATATTATTGTAATGCCTGAAAAACAGTGTGGAATATATGAATTGTGTTGTTGTTGAGACCTGAACATTTTAAACAGTCTGTTCAGGTGTCTAGTTACTAGTTCAACACCCTTAACAGATTTGGGTGCATGGTCATAAATGATGTTGCAATAACTTAATAATTTATGGTCATTTATATTGGCACTTCTGTCACAGGTTGTAAAGGAAGTAAGAAGAGAAAACTGGCTCACATCCTCTGGCACAATAAACCACACTGTTCATTTGTTGGTCACACCCAAAGTCAAGGAAGAAGCACGCCAACATTTCAATTGTAATACTCTAGAAGGTGCTGAGCTTGAAAATCAAGGAGGAAAGGGAACTGCATTGGCACATTTGGAAAAGCGACTTTTTGAAAATGAAGGAATGACTGGTATTTTCACTCACAACTCTGTTTTCTCTAGGCTGACGTTAGCCGTGATGGAGGACACAGGGTGGTATAAAGTGAATTACCAGATGGCAGAACCTTTACAATGGGGTAAAAACTTGGGTTGCCTGTTTGCCAAGAACAGTTGTGGTGCATGGATGAAAGCACAAAGTGATGCTGGTAAATCTGTTGCTCCTTTTTGCAATCAATTAAGGGGTAGTTCTGGAGGGAGGACCAGTTGTTCTGTTGATCGGACAGCTGTTGCAAAGTGCAACTTAGTTCAATATAAGGAACGCCTCCCACAAGAGTATCAGAATTTTTTTAAAGGTTCTCTTCCTGGGGTTTTGGGATTAGAGGCGAAGTATGGTGGGAGCATCGCTTTGGCAGATTATTGTCCCTTTTACCAAGGTTTTACATGGACGAAAAACAACAAAGATATAAGGTCTTCATCATGTGTTTCACATCACAACAATTTGGAGCAAGGTAAAAACTATGCTTTAGAAACTTATGGTATTACATCCACCTGTTTTGAACAAACTGTTAAGTGGACAAAAAAGAAATGTGGTGTTCATTGGACGGCATCGAACTGGGGAAGCGGCTGCTATAATTATGCATGTGAGCAGGACTCACTTAAGATCATAATTTCAGGATATAAATTTCAATGCTTTCACAAGGGTCAACATATTAATGTTGCCCTTCAGTATCAAGGTTGGTATTATCAAGGGGTTTTAGTCTGCCCATCTTGTCAGGAAGTGTGTTCTGGTAGTACCATCAGATGCCCCCCAGAAGTGATACCTGCACCGGAAAATTCTCAACCATTACCTAAAGTACTGACTTGTTCTCGAAGTTCAGTCCTGTTGACAAAGAATTCTAGTCATCTAATGATGCTGCTAGTTGCGTACAAATTTGCAGTAATTCTTGCGTTGTTTAGTTAGCTGTTGTTGTCTAATTTATTTAATATATATACTTTTTTTATGACAAGAGACTGGTCTGTTTCAAGGTTCTTGCGCACCCCAGTCTGACAATTACAACACTTTTCTTATTTGCATTTTTGTCATTTAAAAGTGACCCTGGGTAGCAATTTTTATAGCTTGAGAAAACAGCTGACATTGCACAACGCTATCACTGGTTTCCCCATGAAATGATGGCTGAGAAACAAGCGCAGAAATTCCATACTGACGAGGTGACACTACCCAGATCTGGGTAGTAATGCGTTATCTGTATGGAATTTCTGTGCTCGTTACTCAGACGTCATTTTGTGGGGAAACCTATGGTGGTCTTGGAAAATGTTAGCTTTTTTTTCTCAGGCTACGATTGTTATTGTACCCTAGTAAATAATTATTATAACATGAATGCCATTGTGAACATTTTTTATTTGTAATTTTTAGTATATCAATACAATGATAAAAATACAAGAAATCTTTATGGTAAGATTTGTTTATAATAATATTACATGTTAAAAACATGAAACACAAACACACTTAATATTATTTAAATACCATCATGATAAAATAAATGTTTCATAATATTACAAACTTAACATCGAAGAAAATAATTTAACTTTTGATATAATTAAAGCTTCTGGGCTGGTGCTATCTCTTTGTTTTATATTATTATTTTTATTCGGAGGGGCTTATCTACGGAGGGAAATTTGTGTTTCAAAATCGATTGGGCTAGCCTTATAGTTGGAAGTAAATTTACCATTTTTGCTTTGTTTTACTTTGTATTTGAGGGCAATTTTTCAAGTACAAGCCCCTAGGGGGCTTATATTTGGAGGGGCGATTTAACAGAGGGTTTTTTGTGTTACCGGTTTAGGGGGCTTATATTATTTTGGAGGGGCTTATACATGGAGGGGGTTATTTTCGTAATTCTACGGTAAGGGGTTAACCCATGATTTTTGGTCAAAAATTCAAATTTTTTTTTTGCTCTGCTGTTCTTCAAAATAGGCTTAGATATGTTATTTAATGTTGTTGTAGATACAAGAGAAGGCTTTCCAGACTATAAAAATTTCATTTTCATATAGTCAAAAAATTTGCATTTTTCAGAAGGAGTTAACCTATGATTTTGGTCAAAAATTCGAAATTTCTTTCTAGACTGCTTTTCTTTGAAAAATGCCTAGCTATGTATTTTTATGATGTTGCATATAAAAAAGAAGGCTTTTTAGACTATAAAAATGCCATTTTCACTTAGTCGAAAAGTTTGCATTTTTCTAAAGGGGTTAACCCATGATTTTGGTCAAAAATTCGAAATTTCTTTTGAGCCTGCTTTTCAGTGAAAAATGCCTAGATATGCATTTTTATGATGTTGTATATAAAAGAGAAGGCTTTTTAGACTATAAAAGTGTCATGTTCACAGAGTTGAAAAATTTGCATTTTTCCAAAGGGGTTATCCCATGATTTTGGTCAAAAATTCGAAATTTCTTTTGTGTGTGCTTTTCTTTGAAAAAGGCCTAGATATGTATTTTATGTTGTTGTATACAAAAGTAGACTGCTTGTTAGACTATTAAAATGTTATTTTGACTTAGTCAAAAATTTTGCATTTTACCGAAGGGGTTACCCCATGATTTTTGGTCAAAAATTCAAAATTTTTTTCTACTCTGCTTTTCTTTAAAATAGGCTTAGATATGTTATTTAATGTTGTTGTAGATACAAGAGAAGGCTTTCCAGACTAAAAAAATGTCATTTTCACATAGTCGAAAAATTTGCATATTTCTAAGGGGCCCATGATTGTGGTCAAAAAATCGAAATTTCTTTTTTAAGGCAGCTATTTTGTAAAATAGAGAGAACAGGCTAATGCACATGTCAGTTGAAGAAAGTATACAAGTAAGATTACCAAAACTAGTATCGATATCTGTCCTCCTAAATGAAAGCCCGTGGGATTTCAGGAAAGCGGATTTACTTATTACTTTGATCACGTGATGTGACGTATAAGGAAGATTCGAGTTGTTGGCGTCTCTTCGCGGGAGATAGAAAAAAGCCATTCGAAGCCTTGGAAAGTCTTTGGAAAATGTTCCATTGATTCGTAATATTCCTCCTCCACTACATCTGAATGTGAGTGTTAAATAAGTTTAGTTAACGAATGGGTGGAATTTGAGCCTTACAGTAACAACGTGGAACCTTTAGCGACTGAAAAAGTAGCCTCCGCATGCAACGGCAGACGGCAGCGAAAACGTCACTGACGATGAATTAGCGATTTTTCAAACTTTGTCGCGTTCATTCCAATGCGCTGAAAATTTCTAATGTAGGCAAATTTTCCTGGAGTTGATTTCTCGGGGACCGCACTCAAGTTAAGAAAGAGAAAGAAAGTTTCGTCGTCGCTCGTTTACGTCCTCCATAAANGAGAAGGCTTTCCAGACTAAAAAAATGTCATTTTCACATAGTCGAAAAATTTGCATATTTCTAAGGGGCCCATGATTGTGGTCAAAAAATCGAAATTTCTTTTTTAAGGCAGCTATTTTGTAAAATAGAGAGAACAGGCTAATGCACATGTCAGTTGAAGAAAGTATACAAGTAAGATTACCAAAACTAGTATCGATATCTGTCCTCCTAAATGAAAGCCCGTGGGATTTCAGGAAAGCGGATTTACTTATTACTTTGATCACGTGATGTGACGTATAAGGAAGATTCGAGTTGTTGGCGTCTCTTCGCGGGAGATAGAAAAAAGCCATTCGAAGCCTTGGAAAGTCTTTGGAAAATGTTCCATTGATTCGTAATATTCCTCCTCCACTACATCTGAATGTGAGTGTTAAATAAGTTTAGTTAACGAATGGGTGGAATTTGAGCCTTACAGTAACAACGTGGAACCTTTAGCGACTGAAAAAGTAGCCTCCGCATGCAACGGCAGACGGCAGCGAAAACGTCACTGACGATGAATTAGCGATTTTTCAAACTTTGTCGCGTTCATTCCAATGCGCTGAAAATTTCTAATGTAGGCAAATTTTCCTGGAGTTGATTTCTCGGGGACCGCACTCAAGTTAAGAAAGAGAAAGAAAGTTTCGTCGTCGCTCGTTTACGTCCTCCATAAAACGTAAAATTAGGCATATTTTGGCCGTAGGTTTGCCGTGATGGTAAAGAAATGTACCAAAAAGCGTGATGCACGTGCAGACCGAACCGAACGTCCATAATCAGGATTAATCAAGAATTCGATTAATCGTTACTGCACTAAAACCAACCAACTAGATCAGATGAATTTAGCGGATGCAATGTACTCCTGGAACCCTTGCCACTGTATTTTCCTTAACAGTGCTGTCCATTAAATACAGGTTTATTTTACAAATTTAAAAAATGAGCATTGGAACAAACTCTTAGAAGTCACTGATGCTTGTCTCAGCTCTGCTTAAAGCAGTGGAACCTTAAGAAGGTGGCTCATACCATTGAACCATATTGTACAACTGTACTTTGAAATACTTGAGCACAAAAACACATAAGACAATAGTCTAATAGTAATGTAATAATATCAAGAATACTACTACTACTAATAATAATAGACAATGGTCTAGGCAAAAGTCTCAGATTCACTAACAGTCAATCCAAAGGCTTGGCATTTAAGAAAAAGCAAAAGCATTTAAGAAGGATAAATATTTCTTCCCTCCCCAGGTGCTGTGCCTTGTCGTGGCGGGGAGGCTTGTGTGCCCTTGGGACCTCAAGAGTTATGATGGCGGGAGCTTGTGCTCCTGGCAGGTTCAGTTGTGCCGGATTACTCTAAGGTAGAAGGGCCAGACTAAACAGCACCCTGGTCCTCCAGGTTGGGGGTTTAGTGCAGGATTAACAACTCTGCCTTGTAAAACAGAACATTTTAAATGTCAGATGTTCCAAATGCCTGCCCTTTTTGTTGAGTTGTCAACCTGGCAATCGGAGGAGCCCACAAATCAAGTTAAGGAAATCCAGGATATCTAACATGCCTACTCATTCAGTACTCGTACTGACTGTTCCTCACACTTGATGTGATCCACAACTGCATCCCTGATGCCTGCCCCATACATTCCAGATATCTGACTGGAAACTTGAGGAAGATACTACTTGTATGAAATTGGATTCCTTATGGTGGCTGGATGCTTGTGTATGACTGGATTCCAATGAAAGCTGAACTTGTGGATATGGTGTAGTGGTGTTTGGCTGATGAACTGTCTCGGCAGAAACCAGTGTCACTTGGGGTGGGTTGACCTTTGGGATGATAAGGATTTACTAGGATTGGAGATCCCAGACCGCCGGATCATGGTAGATCAATTCATTTGATCTATCATGATCCGAGTGATCTCAGACCACTTATCCTCATTCAGATCGTCTCAAAGAGCTCACTCTTAATAATCTACATGCCATGAGAGATCAGCAAACATAGAAACGGTCAACCAATAAACCAGTAAGTATGGAAACCAGAGACTCATACTAACTGTTCTTCCCTATTTGTAGTGTTCAACTACAAAGGCATCCCTTGTGCTTGCCCTTATTGCTGTGGTGTGGACCTGGTAAAGCCAGGATACCCAAATAAGTTGGTACTCAAACTGACTGTTTCTCTACTCCTGTTGTGATTGTGGTCAGTTCATGACCATTTACCTGGCTTCATTTGATTATGGCTATCATTAGCACTCTTGCACAAATCCTTGAAGGAACACAGTTTAACGCAGTTAACATACAGCAGATTTATAAGAGGGATTAAGAGACTCTTGATCAATAGCAGTTGTTGTTTTTTCAATTTCAGTACACTTTATGCCATGAAACATTGATTTGAATTTAAATGTTGACTCTTTGTACTTGTTATCATATTTCATATAATTATCATTTATTAGAAGGAGTGTGGTGGCAAGATTTCTTGCCTGTCATGTGGAAGAAAGCAGAGCTGGCATGGAGGCCGTGCCACTGTTGTTTTTTCCCTCCACCATGTACGCTGGATTTGTCGATCAGGTATGTGACTTAATTCAGTTTTTTGGATTAATAACTGTCTAATACCTTTCCTTGAGAATTAACATTATGTGGTTTTCAATTTGAAAAAGGCACAAAGAATAACAAGAGTAACTTGTTAGACAAGTATTTGGTGATACATTGTGATGCTGATTGCTCTCTGGGCTTCCTAAACACCTGTATTAATAAAAATAGCTATTTATCATTTAAAAAAGCCAATTTTGAGCTCTCTGGAC